GATATAGGTACTGGCAAAGACTTCTTGGAAAAGACCCCAGAAGCACAGGCAGTCAAAACCAAAATTAACTATTGGGATTGCATCAAATTGAGAAGGTCCTGTACTTCAAAAGATACAGTCAGTGAGTGAAGAGGCAACAGACAGAATGGGAAAAAATATTTGCAAGCTATGCAACAGATAAAGGGTTGATAACTAGAATCTACAAAGAAATCAAGAAACTCCACAACATCAAAACAAACAACCCACTTAAGAGATGGGCCAAGGACCTCAATCCACATTTTTCAAAAGAGGAAATCCAAATGGCCAACAGACACATGAAAAAGTGTTCAAGATCACTAGCAATCAGGGAAATGCGAATCAAGACCACAATGAGGTTTCACCTCACCCCGGTTAGAATGGCTCACATTCAGAAATCTACCAACAACAGATGCTGGAGAGGATGTGGGAGAAAAGGGACACTAACCCACTGTTGGTGGGAATGCAAACTGGTTAAGACACTATGGAAGTCAGTCTGGAGATTCCTCAGAAATCTGAATATAACCCTACCATACAACCCAGCCATCCCACTCCTTGGAATTTACCCAAAGGAAATTAAATTGGCAAACAAAAAAGCTGTCTGCACCTTAATGTTTATTGCAGCTCAATTCACAATAGCTAAGACCTGGAACCAACACAAAGGCCCATCAACAGTAGACTGGATAAAGAAATTATGGGACATGTACTCTATAGAACAATATACAGCGTCAAAACCACTGAAACCCGGTCATTTGCAACAAGATGGAGGAATCTGGAAAACATTATGCTGAGTGAATTAAGCCAGTCCCAAAGGGACAAATATCACATGTTCTCCCTGATCGGCGACAACTAACTGAGCACCAAAGGGGAAACCTGTTGAAGTAAATGACTATGAGAAACAGTGACTTGATCAGCTCTTATCCTGACTGTTGATGTACAATGTAATACTTTATCTATTTTAGTATTTTTTTTGTTCTAGTACTATTGGTTGAACTCTGTAATTAACACACAATTATTCTTAGGTGTTTAAATTTTAACTGAAAAGTGATCCCTATTAAATATAAGAGTGGGAATAAGAGAGGGAAGAGATGTACAATTTGGGACATGCTCAAGCTGACTTCGCCCAAATGGTGGAGTTAGAAACGTGCCAGGGGATTCCAAATCAGTCCCATCAAGGTGGCATGTACCAATGCCATCTCACTAGTCCAAGTGATCAACTTCAGTTCACAATTGATCACACTGATAGGTCTAAGAGTCAAAGGGATCACACAAACAAGACTAGTATCTGCTAATACTAACTGATAGAATCAAAAAGGGACAGAATAATCCAACATGGGAAGTGGGATACACAGCAGACTCATAGAATGGCAGATGTCCTAAACAGCACTCTGACCTCAGAATCAGCCCTAAGGCATTCGGATATGGCTGAAGAGCCCATGAGAGTATATTAGGCATGGAAAGCCAAGACACTCTGGCAATATATAGGGCCATTTTCTGCTGCTTTTCTCACCACCACCACCACCACCACCACCACCTAAATGAAAGATCTCTGCAAGTGAGATCCCAGTGGAAAGAACGGGGCCATCAAAGAAGGAGGTACCTTTCTCTGAAGGGAGGAGAGAACTTCCACTTTGACTATGACCCTGTCGGAATAAGATCAAAGTCGGCGAACCCAAAAGGCTTCCATAGCCTTGGCAACTCATGACTAGAGCCTAGGGAGATTACTGACGCCATAAACAAGAGTGTCAAATTGTTAAGTCACAACAGGAGTCACTGTGTACTTACTTCTCATGTGGGATGTGTCCTTAATGTGTTGTCCAATGTGAAGTAATGCTATAACTAGTACTGAAACAGTATTTTTACACTTTGTGTCTCTTTGTGGGTGCAAACTGATGAAATCTTAATATATACTGAATCGATCTTCTGTATATAAAGATAATTGAAAATGAATCTTGATGTGAATGGAATGGGAGAGGGAGCAGGAGATGGGAGGGGTGCGAGTGGGAGGGAAATTATGGGGCGGGGGGACCCAATGTAATCCATAAACTATACTTTGGAAATGTATATTTACTAAATTAAAAAATGCCCAATAAAAAAAAATACCAGCCTCTAGCTCCTAATTCTAGCTTCTTCTAATGCAGATCCTGAAAGACAGCAGTGATGGTTCAAGTAACTGGGCTCCCATCACACACAAGGAAGAACTGGACTGAGTTCCCAATTCCTGGATTTGGCCTCAGTCCATCCCCAGACATTGCAGGCATTTGGGGAGTAAATAAGTAGAGGGGAGTAAATAAGTAGAGAGCTCTCTTGTTTTCTCTTCCTCCTTCTCTCTCTTTTTCTCTCTCTCTGCCTCCATTATCCCATCTCTTTCCAAAAAAATTTAAGATAAGTTTATTTTGGCATAAATTTGTTTAGGTCTATACATACCTTTTCAATAATATATTATTTTCCACAAATTTTGAAGACTCATTGTAATTACTACTACTTAATACTTATGTTTAAAATTTCTTATGCTAAAATATTTTTAAAAGAAATCTTTATATTGTCAGTATAAATGGAAAACTATTTATTTGTCATAAATAGAAACTAAGATTTAAATAATAGTTTATAATGTCTACTAGGGACTTATTTTGGAAACATTAAAGAATTATAAATTTCTTAAAGCATTTCAGTTTTTTTTTTTTTAAGATCTATTTATTTATTTGAAAGAGTTATAGAGAGAGAGGGCTGGCGCCGTAGTGTGCACTGGGTTAATATTCTGCCTGCAGTGCCAACATCCCATATGGGCACTGGTTCTAGTCCCGGTTGCTCCTCTTCCAGTCCAGCTCTCTGCTATGGCCTGGAAGAGCAGTAGAAGATAGCCAGTTCCTGGGCCCCTGCACCCACATGGGAGACCAGGAAGAAGCTCCTGGCTCCTGGCTTCGGATCGGTGCAGCTCCAGCCATTGCGGCCAACTGGGGAGTGAAACAACGGAAGGAAGACCTTTCTCTCTGTCTCTCTCTCTCTCCCACTGTCTGTAACTCTACCTTCCAAATAAATAAATAAAATCTTTAAAAAAAAATAAAAGAAAGAGTTACAGAGAGAGAAGAACAGAGAGAAAGAGATCAATTTGCTGGTTCACCCCCCAGATGGCCGTAACTGCTAGCACTGGGACAGGTTGAAGCCAGGAGCTCCATCTAGGTCTCCCACACCTGTGGTAAGGGCCCAAACACCCAGGCCATCCTCTGCTGCCTTTCTGAGGCGACTAGCAGGGAGCTGGCTCAGAAGTGGAGCAACCAGAACTCTAGCAGGCACCCATACATAATGCCGGCATCACAGTATCTTTACTGGTGACACCACAACACCAGCCCCAACACAGAACTTTCAAGATGAAAGGTTTTTGAACTGACAAAGACTAAAACAGTGGGAGTCAGAAGGGTTCTGACTCTACGTCTGAGTGGTATATCCTTATTCTTGTTAAGCCTGGATTTCGACATCTGTAAATTAGGAATTGTTTCAAAAATAAAGCTACTGGGGCCAGTGCTGTGGCGCAGCAGGTTAACACGCTGGTCTGATGCACCAGCATCTCATATGGGCTCCGGTTCAAGACCTGGCTGCTCCACTTCTGATCCAACTCTCTGCTACAGCCTGGGAAAGCAGTAGAAGACGGCCCAAGTTCTTGGGTTCCTGCACCTGTGTGGGAGACCCAGAAGAAGCTCCTGGCTCCTGGCTTCTGATAGGTGCAGCTCTGGCGTTGCGGCCAATTGGGGAGTGAACCATCGGATGGAAGACCTCTCTCTCTGTCTCTCTCTCTCTCTCTCTCTGCCTCTCCTCTCTTTATGTAACTCGACTATCAAATAATCAAAATAAATCTTTTTAAAAAAATAAAGTTACCTTATAAGGACTTAGATAAAATAAATGAAACCATGTAATGCCAGCACATAGCAAACTACATGTTAGAAGCACTAGTCACGTGACTACTATTTTTTGCAATTCAAGACTATCTTAAGCATTATCTAACTTCACAAAGCTCATTTTATGTGGCCTAGAAGTCAGTTTTAAAAGATATTGCACTGGAGCTGGTTCTGTGGTATAGTGGGTTAAAGACCTGGCCTGCAGGGCTGGCATCCCTATGGGTGCCAGTTCGAGTCCCACCTGCTCCACTTCCAATCTGCTATGGCCTGGGAAAGCAGTAGAAGATGGCCCAAGTCCTTGGACCCCTACACCTGTGTGGGAGCTCCTGGATCCTGGCTTTGGATTAGCTCAACCCTGGCCACTGGGGTCATTTGGGGAATGAACCAGCAGATAGAAGACCCTTCTTTCTCTCTCTCTGGCTCTACCTCTCTCTGTAATTCTGTCTTTCAAATAAATAAAATAAATCTTTTTTTAAAAATAAGATACTGCTTGGCCAGCACCGTGGCTCACTAGGCTAATCCTCCGCCTGCGGTGCCGGCACCCCAGGTTCTAGTCCCGGTTGGGGCACCGGGTACTAGTCCCAGTTGCTCCTCTTCCAGTCCAGCTCTCTGCTGTGGCCCGGGAAGGCAATGGAGGATGGCCCAGGTCCTTGGGCCGTGCACCCGCATGGGAGACGAGGAAGAAACACCTGGCTCCTGGCTTTGGATCAGCGCAGCACTCTGGCCATAGTGGCCATTTGGGGGGTGAGCCAACAGAAGGAAGACCTTTCTCTCTGTCTCTCTCTCACTAACTCTGCCTGTCAAAAAAAAAAAAAGATACTGCATTATTCTCATAAATATAATGGAAAATGCTTTAACATATTTATTCTACTGTATAACTGCATTTCTAGGAACTTGAAATACTTCAAATTTTAGAAAGGATGTCCATATTTACCCACACTAGGATATTTAGTTACACCTTATGAAGTCCCTTGCCTACAATATATTCCTGACATTAAAGGGAACAATAGCTAAAATAATATACATTCATATGTAAATAGTTTTCATAAAATCTTTACATTAATTCAGAGGATTTTACAGCAAAATACTTACAAATTTAGTTTTGCAAAGCTCTCTTGTGCATTGAGCTTTTCTCGTTCATATGCACTTTCAACTTCTTTGAATTCATTCTTGATCATTTCCAAATCGGCAACAGCTTCTGCTTGGCTAGCCTTCTCTACTTGCAAAGCTCCTTCAAGGTCTCGGATCCGTAACTACCAGATGACAGAGACATAATTAAAACAAGATAAGAAATGCAAGCATCCATCTTAAATGATAAACAGCATATTATCATTCATCCAAACACTTCTCTCTTTCTGCTTTGGTTTAAAAATGAAAATAAAACATACTTTATTTACTCTCTTAATATGCTTAACGGAAAAGAAAAACAGTGGAAAAATAACAAGTAGTTCTTGGTGCGATGGAAAAGGACAGACACCCATCCACCAAAGTGCCTTACCATGACCTACTAATCCAGTCAGAGGCTTCTCTTATAAATATGAGAAGTTAAGTGGTTTTTGAAAACTTAAGGGAAGTATTCTTCCTCTCCTATGAGAAACTTCTCCATATGAATACCATCAAAAGTCTAAGAAGTTTAATAGATCTTTATATACCTGGACACTTCTTACTGTATAAAAATGAACTTACACACAATACTACTTGACTGAAAAATTTATATTTGTAATGACTTGATATCTGGAATTTGCTTCACAATGATGTGGGAGTGAGAGAGTGCAGGCGGGTAACGGCTAAGACACAAACCATCTGAGGTAGGTGTTGGCATTGGCTGACAGTACTCGAGGATGCATTTTGCTATTCTCTCTAGTTTTGTACACATTTAAAATTTTATATAAGAAGACATTTTAATAACTATATTCTCAAAGCAGCCATTTAGCCTAGTAGTTAAGATGTAGTAGTAGTTAAGATATCAGAGTACCTGGGTTTAATTCCAGACTCCAACTCCTGACTCCAACATCCTACCAATGCAGACCCTGAGAGGTAGCAGTGATACCTCAAATAACTGGGCTCCTGCCATCCATGTGGCTGACCTGGACTCTGTTCCCAGTTCCTGGCTTTGGTCCTAGCTCAACCCCAGCCACTGAAGGCATTTAGAGAGTGAATCAGCAGATAGAAGTGTGTTTTCTCTCTCTCATTCTCACTCTCTCCATCTCAAATAAATAATTTTTTAAAAGATTTACTTGAAAGGCAGGTTTTGTTTTTGTTTTTGTTTTTGACAGGCAGAGTGGACAGTGAGAGAGAGAGAAAGGTCTTCTTTTTCCGTTGGTTCAGCCCCCAATGGCCGCTGTGGATGTGACGCGCTGTGGCCAGCGCATCACGCTGATCCAAAGCCAGGAGCCATGTGCTTCTTCTGGTCTCCCATGCAGGTGCAGGGCCCAAGGACTTGGGCCATTCTCCACTGCACTCCCGGGCCACAGCAGAGAGCTGGCCTGGAAGAGGGGCAACCGGGACAGAATCCAGCACCACGACGGAGACTAGAACCCGGGGTGCTGGTGCTGCAGGCAGAGGATTAGCCTAGTGAGCCACTGCGATGGCCTAAAAGGCAGTTTGAATGAGAGAAAGAGAGAGAGAGAGAATCTTCCATCTACTGGTTAACTCCCCAATTGGCTGCAAGGGGTATGGCTGGGTCAAGCTGAAGCCAGAAGTCACAACTCTATCTGTCTCCTACATGGGTGTAAGGTCTGAAGCATTTGAGCCATCTTCTGCTGCCTTCTCAGGCATGTTAGCAGGAAGCTGGACGGGAAACAGAGCAGCTAGGAATGCAACCAGCACTACAATATGTCACAAGAGGTGGCTTAACCTGCTGTGCCACAACACTGGTCCCTAAACAATCACTTTTTAAAAAAAAGAAAATTATTCCCTGTGTCTACCAATAGTAGAATGGATAAACAAATTACATTCCCATAAAAGAATATGTAGCTTTAAAAAAATGTCTATAAAATTAACTTTTTAAAACAAAGGTCTCTATACAGGTCTCCATGTAAGGCTATAGAACACTGCATTGTCAATATACATTGAAAACAATGTTGTGGCAGCATTGTGGCATAGTGGGTAAAGCCATCACCTGCAATGACAGCATTCTACATTGGTGTTGATTTGTGTCCCAGCTGTTCCACTTCCAATCCAGCTCCCTGCTAATGGCCTGGGAAAAGCAGCAGAGGATGACCCAAGTTCTTGGGCCCTGACCATTAATATGTGAGACTGGGAAGAAGCTCCTGGTTTCTGGCTTCAGCCTTTCCCAGTCCCAGATGTTGAGGCCATCAGGGAAGTGAACCAGCAGACAGAAGATTGATCCCAACCTCCCTCTCCCTCTCCCTCTCCCTCTCCCTCTCCCTCTCTCTGTACCTCTTCAAATAAATAGAGAAAGAAAGAAAGAAAGAAAGAAAGAAAGAAAGAAAGAAAGAAAGAAAGAAAGAAAGAAAGAAAGAAGAAAGAAGAAAGAAAGAAGAAGAAGAAGAAGAAGAAAGGAAGAAGAGGGAGGGAGAGTTCAACGTTCTCCGGTAGGTAGAGAGGAAGGAAGGAGAAGGAAGAAGAGGAGAGGAAGAAGGAGAAGCTAGAAACGAAGAAAGAAAGAAAGCATGAAAGAAAGAAAGATAGAAAGACAGAAAGAAAGAAAGAAAGAAAGAAAGAAAGAAAAGAGAGAGAGAGAGAAAGGGAGAAAGAGAGAAAGAGAGTGAGAGAGAGAAAGAGAGGGAGGAAGGGAGGAAGGGAAGGAGGGAGGGAGGGAGGGAGGGAAGGAGAGAAGGAGGGAGGGAGGGAAGGAGAGAAAGAGGGAGGGAGGGAAGGAGAGAAGGAAGGAGGGAGGGAAGGAGAGAAGGAAGGAAGGAAACAGCAATAATTGAAAGACAAGCTAGGTGATATCTTAATCAAACTTCTGCCCCAGTCTTAGCTCTTGAGGAGGTCAATATTCTTACCTAAACCTAGGAAAAAAATAAGTATGCAGGTACAATTCAATTTAATTCTCAGATTTTTCCATTTATACTTTTTCTGGGGACTGGCACTGTGGTGTAATGGATTAAGCTGTTGCCTGTAGTGCCAGCATCCCATATAGGCACCAGTTCGAGTCCCAGCTGCTCCACTTCTAATCCAGCTCCCTACTAATGTGCTTTGAAAAGCAGTGGAGTATGGCCCAAGTTCTTGGGCCCCTGCACCCATGTGAAAGACAATGGAAGAAGCCCCTGGTTCCTGGGTTCAGTCAGGCCCAGCCCCAGCTATTGCAGCAATCTGAGAAGTGAACCAGCAGATGGAAGATCTCTCTCTCTCTTGCTCTCTCTTTCTCTCTCTCTCTAACTCAGCCTTCTCAGACTTTCAAATAAATAAATAAATCTAAAAAAAAACTGTTCTTCTTTGTTTTGTCTAAAACCAATGTCTACATGCCAAATAACAAATCTATGAAACATTTTCTTGTTTACATTGCTATCTTCTTTCAGAAAATAAGCATATTTAATAACAAATGTAAAAACAATGCAATTTAAAGAAAAGAAGACAACAAGCTAACAATTTTGAGTAAACTCTTGTTTTTCACTCTTCCTTCTCATTTTTTTAATTTAACTTATTTATTTGCAAGGCAGACACAGAGAAAGACAAAGAGAGTTCCAATCTGCCGCTTCACTCTCCAAATATCTGCAAATTCAGGAACCAGGAATGCAATCCAGATCTCCCTTATGGTAAGAACCCAACTACTTGAGCCATTCCTGCTGCCTCCCAGTGTCTGCACGGGCAGGACCTATATGCCAGCAGCTAGAGCCAGGAATCAAACCTAGTTACTCAGATGTAGGATGTGAAAAGATAAATGCCCCCATACACATTCTCACTTTTTTGCAACATATAAATTTAATAACAAAAGACTTCAAAAGCATATTAACAGTGGTTTATGAGATGGTGACTACAGTCACTTAGTAGCATCACATTTATAATAGTCGGAGACTGATTACTGTTAGAAGTACCCTCACTGAAAATATTTGTCAGTATTTATAAACTTAAGTTTCAAGTATAAACTTCTATTTGTTCTAAGCCTAAGCAGTAAGCTAAATATCAAATATTAATTTTAAAGCACACTAGCAAAAATTATGTATAATTTTCATTTTTGTAATAATTCAATATATACTCCTTAAAATATTATAAATACAATGAAAAATCTACTTTTTTTAAAGATTTATTTATTTATTTACTCAAAAGGCTGAGTGATAGAAGAAGAGAGGCTGATGCCTGGAGCCAAAACTTCACCGAGGTCTCCCACATTGGTGGCAGGGGCCCAAGCACTGGGGCCATCCTCCACTGCTTTCTCAGGGGCATTTAGCAGGGAGCTGGATCAGAAGCAGAGCAGCTGGGACCCAAATCAGGAATCCAATATGGATTCATCTTATGATTCAGCATCATAAGCAGCAGCTGAACTCATTGAGACAAAATACCAGCCCCTGAAAAAAATTATTTCATGACCTTAAAACTTCAGTTGTATTATTTACTGATATAATTTTTGAGTGATCCAATCTTTTTTCATTAATTTAACTTATACAGTTTGCTTTAACAAATATATGGGTCTCGGGCCGGCGCCGTGGCTCAATAGGCTAATCCTCCGCCTTGCGACGCCGGCACACCAGGTTCTAGTCTCGGTCGGGGCACTGGATTCTGTCCCGGTTGCCCCTCTTCCAGGCCAGCTCTCTGCTGTGGCCAGGGAGTGCAGTGGAGGATGGCCCAAGTCTTTGGGCCCTGTACCCACATGGGAGACTAGGAGAAGCACCTGACTCCTGGCTTCGGATCAGCGCGATGCGCCGGCCGCAGCGCGCCGGCCGTGGCGGCCATTGGAGGGTGAACCAACGGCAAAAGGAAGACCTTTCTCTCTGTCTCTCTCTCTCTCTCACTGTCCACTCTGCCTGTCAAAAATAAAAAATAAATAAATAAATAAAAACAAATATATGGGTCTCAGAATTTTGTGAGTAAATGAGGCATTTCATTAAATATAAAAAAAGAATTAATGAACAACCCTTATAAATGTAGTTGCATCTTGCACAAAGAATTGTTTAAACAAGGCTACACATCAAAGATTCTATTTGCTAAAATTTAAGGCCTTTCCAATCAGGGAAATGCAAATCAAAACCACAATGAGGTTTCACCTCACCCCGGTTAGAATGGCTCACATTCAGAAATCTACCAACAACAGATGCTGGAGAGGATGTGGGGGAAAAGGGACACTAACCCACTGTTGGTGGGAATGCAAACTGGTTAAGACACTATGGAAGTCAGTCTGGAGATTCCTCAGAAATCTGAATATAACCCTACCATACAACCCAGCCATCCCACTCCTTGGAATTTACCCAAAGGAAATTAAATTGGCAAACAAAAAAGCTGTGTGCACCTTAATGTTTATTGCAGCTCAATTCACAATAGCTAAGACCTGGAACCAACACAAAGGCCCATCAACAGTAGACTGGATAAAGAAATTATGGGACATGTACTCTATAGAATACTATACAGCAGTCAAAAACAATGAAACCCGGTCATTTGCAACAAGATGGAGGAATCTGGAAAACATTATTCTGAGTGAATTAAGCCAGTCCCAAAGGGACAAATATCATATGTTCTCCCTGATCGGTTACAATTAACTGAGCACCAAAGGGGAAACCTGTTAAAGTGAAATGAACACTATGAGAAACAGTGACTTGATCAGCCCTTGCCCTGACTTGATGAACAACTTAATACGTTATCCCTCTTAGTATTCTTTTTGTTTGTTCTATTTAATACTTTTGGTTGAATACTGTAATCAATACACAGTTATTCTTAAGTGTTGAAACTTAACTGAAAAGTGATCCCTGTTAAATATAAGAGTGGGAATAAGAGAGGGAAGAGATGTGCAATTCAGGACATGCTCAAGATAACTTACCTCAAACGGTAGAGTTAGAAATATACCAGGGGATTCCAATTCAATCCCATCAAGGTGGCATGTACCAATGCCATCTCACTAGTCCAAGTGATCAATTTCTATTCACAACTGATCATAATGATAGGACTAGGAGCCAAAGGGAGCACATAAACAAGACTAGTGTCTGCAAATACTAGCTGATAGAATAAAAAAGGGAGAGAACGATCCAACATGGGAAGCGGTATACACAGCAGATCCATAGAATGGCAGATGTCCTAAACAGCACTCTGGCCTCATAATCAGCCCTTAAGGCACGCAGATCTGGCTGAAAAGCCCATGAGAGTATTACAGGCATGGAAAGCCAAAACACTCTGGCAAAAAAAAAAAAAAAAAAACACTAACTAACTAAATGAAAGATCTCTGCGAGTGAGATCCCAGTGGAAAGAACAGGTCATCAAAGAAGGAGGTACCTTTCTCTGAAGGGAGGAGAGAACTTCCACTCTGACTACGACCTTGTCTAAATAGGATCAGAGTCGGTGAACTCAAAAGGCTTCCATAGCCTTGGCAGCTCATGACAAGAGCCTACAGTGATTACTGATGCCATAAACAAGAGTGTCAAATTGTTAAGTCAACAACAGGAGTCACTGTGCACTTACTCCTCATGTAGGATCTCTGTCCTTAATGTGCTGTACATTGTGATTTAATGCTATAACTAGTACTGAAACAGTATTGTTCACTTTGTGTTTCTATGTGGGTGCAAACTGTTGAAATCTTTACTTAATATATGCTAAACTGATCTTCTGTATATAAAGAAAATTGAAAATGAATCATGATGTGAATGGAAGGGGGGAGGGAGAGGGAAAGGGGAGGATTGTGGGTGGGAGGGAAGTTATGGGGGGGAAGCCATTATAATCCATAAGCTGTACTTTGGAAAATTTATATTCATTAAATAAAAGTTAAAAAAAAATTTTAAGGGCTTTCAAAAGTCTCATCACACACCTTTCCACAGTATCTCCAAACTTATCCCTAAGCTCCACCATACCACAATGCATGGTATTCCCCCAAAATAACAAGCACACTCTTATTTAGTAGCTTTACTCATGCATTCTCTCTTTTTAGAACAGTGGTCAGCTACCTTTTTCTGTAACGGCTTATAGAGTGAATATTTTACATTTTGTGGGTCATAGGGTCTTAATCTAACAAGCATTCATAAACAATCTATAAAAAATAGTCATGGCTATCTTCCAATAAAATTTTATAAAAATGCTCTCAGAGTATGTCAGACCTGGTCCAAACAACCCCTAATTAAAATGCTGTGCCCTCATTTCTCTTAGAAATCCCATCACAGCGACCAGAGCAGTGGCATAGCTGGTAAAGCCATCACCTGCAGTGTCAACATACCATATGGGCACCAGTTTGAGTCCCGGCTGTTCCACTTTCAATCCAGCTCTCTGCTATGGCCTGGGAAAGCAATAGAAGATGGCCCAAGCCCTTGGGCCTCTGCACCCGCATGGGAGACCCAGAAGAGGATGCTGGCTCCTGGCTTTGGATTGGTGCAGGTCTGGCTATTACCACTAATTGGGGAGTGAACCGGTGGATAGAAGACCTCTCTCTGTCTCTGCATATGCCTCTCTGTAACTGTTTAAATAAATAAATAAATCTTTAAAAATAAATAAATAAAAGGAAAACCCATCTCATTCTCCAACCCCTAGCAAAAACACTATCCTTAGGGATGCCTCCATTTAATTCTAAGATTTTGGCTGGTGCTGTAGCATAGTGGGTTAGGGAAGGAAAAGTGGGTTAGGGAAGTTTTCTGTAAAGGGTCGGATGGTAAATATTCACATTTTGAGCTTGCTACTCCCTGAGGTCTCTGCCACAACTACTTTACCTGCCATTGTAGCACAAAAGCAGGCGGAGACAAGATGAAACTTCACAAGAACAATGGGTGAGACCTGGCCTGTAGGCTGTAGTGTCAACTTCTCCATTAACATAATATATCCTCAGCTGCATCCCTATCATAAATACAGCAATAAGGATCTCTGCAATACACTCTCCATTCCAAATGCACATCTTGGTTCTCTGAACATAGCGCTGCTTTACTTGGCTGTTATAATACAATTTAAGAAAATACATACCAAAAATACTTGTTCACATCTTACCTGAATAATTTCAGAATTAAATTTTGATTCCAGATGTGCTGCTCTTTCTGCTTCAATATTTTCTTCTAATTTCCTCACTCTTAGAGTAGTTGCCTAAAAACAAATTAAGTTTAAACTCATAAACATTGGTATTTAAAGTAGATACGGATTACTATATTGCAGAATTGTAATTAGCACTTTAGGTTACTATAGTTGTGGTCTTTGATGTTTTTGTTTGTTTATTTGGTTTTGCTTTTTTTTTTTTTCACTTTGTAGGAGTGAAGTTTAAACTCATGTTTAAGAAGAATGGTCCACAGCTTGCTTTCTCATTTTTCAGTTTTACTGGGGTAAAATTCAGATACAACAATCTACATATATTGGAAGTATACAACTTGGTAAGGTTTTACAAATAAACATCCATGAAATCATTGCCACAGTCACCCTTAAAAGATTCCTTATGTCCCTCGGTAAAGTATTCCTCTAGCCCTCTCCACCCTACCCCCCTTTCCAAGTAACAACCAACCTGCTAATTCTGCCCTATAGAGGAGTTTGTATTTCCTGGAATTCTATGTCAGTTGAATCCTATAATGCAAACTCTTTATTGCCTGGTTTCTTCTCCCCTGCAGAAGTATTTTGAAATTTATCTGTGTGATTGCAGGCAACAATAGCTCATTCCTTTTTATTGTCAAACACACTTCCACTGTGTTAATATCATACTGATTTCTCTGTTGACCTGCAAACAAACATTTGTTTCCAATGTGTACTATCACAGATAAAGCTGCTATAAGCATTTATTGCAAGGGCACATACTTTCATTTCTCTGGGATAACTAGTGAGGAGCAGAATGACTGGGTCAAATGGACAGTATATATTGAATATTTTAAGAGACTGATATACTATTTTCCAAAATGGTCATACCACAGCAATGTATGAAATTTCCTACTGTTCCACATCTTCAACATTTGTTATGATCATATATTTGTTTGTTTTATTTTGGGGAATATTACAGACATTCAAATAGGCACCTCATTTTAGTTTTAATTTATATTTCCTTTTTCATGTCCCTATTTGCCATTTGTATATCTTCTTGAGTGAAGGCTCTACTAACATCTTTCCTCATGTTTTAATTGAGTTATTTTCATATTATGATTTTTGAGGGCATTTGGCAGATTACTTAATATGCTGATTGGGACACCCATATTCCATATAGGAGCGCCTGAGTTGGAGTCCCAGCTGTGCTCTGATTCCAACTTCCTGCTAATGCACACCCTGGAATGCAAAGAGAAATTAAATTCCTGCCACCTACTTGGGAGACCTAAGTTCTAAGTTTCTTGGCTTTGGCCCAGCCCAGTCCTGGTTATTTGGGCATTCGGGGAATGAAGCAGTAGATGGCAGCTTTTTCTCAGTCTTTCTGCCTCTCAAATAATTAATTTTATAAAAATCTTTAAACATAGAGTAACCAATGACCCACCAATTATACTCCTATATATATACCCAAGAGAAATGAAAGCATGTTCAAACAAAAAATGATGTATACAAAAGTTCATAATAGCCAAAGTGGAAAAGACAAAAATGTCTATCACTAATGAAAGGATTAAACAAGATGTGGTATATCCACAAAATGGAATATTATCCAGCCAGAAAAAGGAATGATGTACCAATACTTGGAAACATATATAAAAATATGAAACTAGTCAGAGACAAAAGGTCACATATTATATGATTCTAGCCATATGAAATTTCCAGAACCAGTGCACCCATGGAGACAGAAAGTAAATTAGCATTTCCAAGTATAAGGGAGTAAGAGGAGAGAAGTGAGTATTAATGGATATAATGTTTCTTAGTGTGATAATGAAAATGTGCTGGAATTTATATTAAATTGAATTAATAGTTGTACAGTATTCTGAAAATCCCTGAATTATATACTTTAAAATACTTTAAATGGGTGAATTTTATGATATGTGAAATATAACTCAACAGAATTAAAAGAATCAAGAGGAAGAACCAAGAACAATATCAAAGAAGTGACAGTCACCTAATTTAAACTTCTGAATCCCACTGCTGAAAACAGTTCCTTCAAAATGTTGTCTTTATATCTCAGAATAAGGGACTGCCAAGGCTGCAGGCAAAAAGCATACTGCATACTGAAATTCTTGTATTTAGTTCAGGCCAGAATGCACATTATCACAGTTAGGTAATGTTAACCAATACCAATTTTAGAAATAACTTTTTTTAGTATAAATGCCACAGGGTAAAGTTCCCACCCTTAAAGAATTAAAGCTGGCCTTTATGGTATCTAGTATACTCATTTTACAGTCTGTAAAATCAGGAGTCCAGCCATTCACAAGCAAATAGTCCACAGGTGTCGAGAATATTTTTTTAAAGATTTATTTTATTTTATTTGAAAGACAGAGTTAAAGAGAGAGGTAGAACCAGAGAGAGAGGTCTTCCACCTGCTGGTTCACTCCCCAAATGACCACAATGGACAGAGCTGAGCTGATCCAAAGCCGGGACTTCCTCCGGGTCTCCCATGAAGTGTGCAGGGGCCCAAGGACTTGGGCCATCTTCTACTGCTTTCCCAGGTCATAGTACAAAGCTAGATTGAAAGTGGAGCAGCTGGGACTCAAACCAGAGCCCATATGGGATGCCAGTGCTGCAGGCCAGGGCCTTGATCTGCTGCGCCACAGCGCCAGCCCCAGAGAATATTTTAAAAGCTAGAAAAGGGCAGATACAGGGAAAAAGCTATTCTAACAATGGTAAAATATATTTCAGATTCTAAAAAAACTACTTATGTAAGTTTCTCTATCTAGTCAGATTTTTTTTTAATTTTTTTTTTATTTGACAGGTAGAGTTGTAGACAGCGAGAGAAACATAGAGAAAGGTCTTTCTTCCCTTCGTTCACTCCCCAAATGGCCGCTACGGCTGGTGCTGTGCCGATCCAAAGCCAGGAGCCATGTGCTTCTTCCTGGTCTCCCATGCGGGTGCACGGCCCAAGCACTTGGGCCATCCTCCACTGCCCTTCCAGGCCACAGCAGAGAGCTGGACTGGAAGAAGAGCAACCGGGACTAGAATCCGGTGCCCATATGGGATGCCAGCACCGCAGGCAGAGGATTAACCAAGTGAGTCACAGCGCCAGCCCTAGTCAGATATTTTGTTAAAATACAAAATATTCAGTGATTCTGTGACAAAAGATTCAACAATTAAAGTCTTTATTTCTTATGTTGATGTTCTATTGTATTATTTAATTATCTGGTTGTCACTCCGAAAATCAGGAAGAGATTCTATTTTTCCTGACTAGATCAAAACCAAACCAGCAGAAGTAATAAACCAGAGATTGCATTCTTTATTTTCACACTTTCCTGTTTGGAATGAAATAACCAAAAGAAAATAAACTTATAGATGTTTATTATTACTAAAACTATAAATAAATCAAGAAGGACACTAAAAAATTTCAAGTCTTCAAACAAACTCCTTCCAAGAGTAGACTTTTTGATTGACTTTATTAAATTAAAGCCTTCCTAATAATTTTTTATTCTAGTTTGGTGAATTAATTCTAACATCCAGCAGAGGGTGCTAAAGGAACATTAACATACTGTACACCAAATTTTTTTTTACCAATAATACTGCATTAGAGAACAAATATAACACTCATAATCTATCTCACTGACATTCAATTCTAATCAACAAAGCAAGATCAGAAAGAATAAAAGAATTATGATTAAATACATAATCCAACATAAATTCATATATACCACAGGTCAGTTGAATTATATACAGTTTGCCTATAATACAACAAAATATGTAACACAAAATAAACATTTATTAGATAGTTTACATATTCCTTCCTACTGCAATATACTGTCAAAAAGTTATTTCAGTAAATATTATGTGTTAATCTCTTTTTCCTTGTCTGATTTGTGTCTCATTAAATCATAGTAAGCTTAGTTAGAGAACTTACTACACTTTTATAAATAAATTTTCATAAAGTGGTCCTCAAAGAAGGAAGTAATTTTTTCTGAATGGAGGAGAGAACTTCCACTTTGCTTATGGCCTTGTGTAAATACTGATGGAGTTTGTAGATTCAAAAGGCCTAAACAGCTCATGTCAAGAGCCTCAGGTGATCACTGACATCATACATAAGAGTGTTAATTGTAAAATTAGCAACAGAAGTCACTGTGCACTAACTTCCCATGCAGGACCTTTGTCCTCAAAGAGTTGTATTATAATTATGTCTAAATGCTCACAAAAGATGTATCATTTTTGGGTGTTTCTTTAAAGCTAATTAGGTTTCTAAATTAAAGAAGTGAAATTAACTTCAAGATGAAATGACTTTGAAGAGCCCCTGTCTCAACTGTTGAAGAATAGATTTTGGGGTATGTGTGTGTGTGCAAACTGTTAAACTCTTTAGTATAGAGTTGGTCTTCTGTGTATAAAAATCAAAAATAGATCTTAGTGGAGAATCGGACAGGGAATGGGAGAGGGAGGAGGAAGGGTGGGAGTGTGGGTGGAAGGACAAGTATGTGGGAAGAATCACTATATTCCTAAAGCTGTACTTAGGAAATTCAAGAAGTTTATATTCCTTAAATAAAAGGTGTCTTTGGGAAAAAATTACAAAGAGATGCCTTATAAATCTTTCCTAACAATATTGGACTGGCAAGCAGCAGAACTTGATTTCACCTTGAATGAAGAGTCCAGACGGTACACACATTAAAAGTGTCTCTGAACGCTCTCAGCCCCTCCTTTCGCTGCCTCTCAAACAGAAATGGACAAGTAAGTTGATGAATGGAATTTGTAAATAAAAAGCAAGGGCCACTTTTGCTGTATCAGAAGTAATTATAATTCTTACCTATCAATTACACTAACCTCAGAGTTACACCAATAGTCAGAACACTGCTGCACTAATCAGCTGGAATAACAAGATTTCAACATGATAACAAAACCAGGTAAAGTTGTATTTATCGGCTATGGTTAAACAATGTGATTTTTTCGTGGTTGGAATCCCTTTTAAAATGAATCTCCTGGAGTAGTTCTGTTAATAAAATAGTTATTAACTCTAAAAAAAAAAAGTTTCAGTCTCTGAGGAAGGCAATAAGAAAACGATGTCTCCCAATCAA